GTGTCAGTTTTTTTTTAGCTTTTTTTAAAAGAATGATGAAAACAGCATATTTCATCCGAAGTGTTGCTCTTCGCTAGAAATATATTTCGGCATAGAGAAAGCTTCATATATTCAAAGTTACCAAAAAAATACGTCAGCAGGCTATGTTTTAGTATTGTCTATAGTGAAAAGACAATATTTTTACGAGAAAGAAAATTGATGTGAGGTTTTCTCCCTACTGCTGGTGCATTTACAATTCACTTAATGCAAGTGAACTTACTTGTGTAGCAAATGCCAATGACTTGAATGTGATGACTTCATAACTTTTTTGAAACGCAATTAAACTAATAATTTTTGGAAACAACAGCTGTGCTATTTTCAGAATTGCAATAGAATAAAATTGCATTGATTAACTACTATTTACTTTGGTTTAAGTTTCTTTTTTTTTTCTAACTCAATACCATTTTGTTCGAAAATAGGTCATTTTTTGTACGTTTATTTACTTACAGCAAAAGCACGGTTTCTCTCATCAATTTTTTTTTTCAAAACTGCTGGTGCGTTATTTGCGTGCTTAGTAGGCGTCTTTTGTTTTTGAGTAATATTTTCAGCTAAAGAGAATACATGTCTTGAATAATTGAAAAGCTCCTGTCGTAGGGTCTCTACTTAAAAGTGAAAAACGACTAGCATCTGTTTTGAGGCTTATTTATTCTTTCTGGGTTACCGTAGGTACTACTAATGTACTGAAATTTAAAAACTAAAAAGCCCTTTTCAAAGCCCACAAAAGTTTTTCTGCCACTTTAGAAGGAACTTGCGTTACATGCTGTGATACTTGGACCTTTTTACATCGCAATTGGTCAGCTAAAGTACTTATTTTAATATTTTTTTGTACGGAAATAGCTAAGGAAACACCAAAGCTAAGTGCGAAATCGCTGGTTAGGTACGTTAGATCTTCGTATCATCGACCAACGAAAATATTTTATTTTGTTAAAAAAAGCTATTTTGCCATTTTAACGTATAACTTTTGACAAATAGAGGCTAAGAGTTACAGATTTATGTACACACTGGCACAGTGCTTTGAAATATGAATCGTTACACCCTACATAACCTATTGTGGAGGGTACATTAAGTGCGTGTAGCAGTCAGAAGGGCACCTTTTATTATACCAATTAGCCCAGTATCACTTTCTGAACCGATTTGAGTATGTCTTATCTGATGTTTATTCTTTATCTTTCTTAGTTACCCACAGGAGGCGATTTATGTGATGGAGGAACGAAATACGATACACTGGATTACTCCCCATTAATACGCCTTGTTTTCAAGATTTTCAGATTTTAATTTCTGAATTGAAAAAGTAAACATATACACGAGAAAAAAGCATAAACTTTAAGATTTCATAACGAAAACTTGTCCATAGTAGTAGTTTGATCTAAAAATCAACTGTACCATATATAGATAACGTACCTTCATCTTTTCTTCCTCAGGGCGTATGAGAGCACTCATACATATATTTATATATATTTGTATATATATATTATACATATAATACATATATATACACATATTTTTATAATATATATACATACTTATTTATGATATATACATATTTTTTTGTTATAGGACCAATCACAAAGGGGATGTCTCCTATTCTTGTAATACAATCACGGCCGGAAAAAAACGCGGAAAGAGATGCGGAAACGGCCGAAGCCCACTGCATGTGTGTCCAATCATCAAGTGTCATGACTTTACGATCAAAATAGACTCTATCGCACTGAGATTTGAACCCACGAACCGACGAGATAGTCGCGATTCTTGCTTACTCGGCTACTCATGCGGTCTAATTTTTAGTAATTTAACACGAAAATAAATGAATAAGAATATGAACTTTGGCAAGAAAATCACATTCACCAAACTTGAATTATATCAATTTACATTTTTGACACTCTTCTGTAAAAAGGACACCACATGAAAAGTAGAGGAAGGTAGTATAAAATAATGTATTATTATTATCATTAATAAGCCGCAGATATAACTACACTAAAATCTTAAAACACTAGCTTCTAAGTCCATCGGCCTTATTGAAAACTCTAGCATACTTGAGATCTGAAACCATGACCATTGAGTTGTTAGATGAGATCCGTTAACTCAGCCGCTATATAATAATAATTTATCAAGAAAATAAACGAAAAATTGTACTAGCCAAAGTAGCACAGAGTCTAATGCCGGCCATGCCCGACTATAACATTTTTAATTGTTTTCGTTTATCTGGATACGCAAAAAAGGTAAAGCATCTTATGTGAGACTTTGAACTCATAGAGCAGAGTCGAACAATCCCTCCAACGAGTCGAGTAATGTTGATAGTCATTTTTGGTTTGAAGCTGATGGCTGCCATGCTAATAATGTATATTTTCTGCAGAATGTCCTTCCCTCCCTGTCGGTGTGGTGTTAAAAAATTGAAATAAAAAATTTAAGCATGCCTTGCATAATCTTTGTTTATTAAGATTCAGGTTAAGTTTGAAAATTTATTGATTTATCCATTTATTGAAATGTGCAGGCAATTCAGTTACACTAAATAATCCGCGGAATTAAGATTAGAACACGCGAATACGTGAGCTTGACTTTTTTCAATTTCCAAGCTTTGAAGAAATATTTGTAAAGCGGAAATTATCGATAATTTTCATTTGTTTGAAAGGACTTTAAATATCTACGTTCGATTTTTTCTACCTTTTCCATTTTTCGATATGCCAAGAAAGCATTCCATAAGCACGAATACGTCGCCAAGATGGCTTTACATTCGCTATGAACATTTGTTTGCCACTTCTCCTGTTTACGCTCGATGTGCGACTTTTATACCCAAACAAGTAACAACATTATACAGAGCCACGACCCGCCATTAAATACGCTGCACTACTTCGCTTAATACAATCATTTATAATATGAGTTATCAACATGAGGTGTTACATGGAAAGTGATCGGAAAAGTGTTTCAACCAGAAATGTATTCAGTAGCGTTCGTCGTTGGACCGTATATGATAGCCGAACTTATTGATCGATTTATTAGCTCTGTTCACTAATAGCACTGAAAACTCATGCACATACAATTCGAGTACCGTCAAATGCTCAATAGTTTTGAGATAACTGTAATTACATCATAAGTGTCATAAGTGTAATTACATCAAAGGATAAATGAAATCCAGTTTTAACATCAATTTTTAAATTTAGAGTACTCCAGAAAGTTCAGGTCACGATTGAGCAGATACACAAAGCTAAGGAAGTTAGTTCCAAGTATGGGTACTTTGTTATATGCACTCAGGATATTCCTCTCCTTACATTGCTTATTGAAAAACGAAACATTTATCCTCCCAATGCTGAGAGGATAAAAGAAATGAGTTTATCTTCCTTCCTAACTTTGTACATGCTTACGCATTACAACAGAAGCACATGTTCCGGTAATAGTAATTAATCTCTAGGGAATGAAGGAAATATTTGATGAACCCAGTCCAGCAGGTCCAATCTGTAAATAATAATTTATTTACGTGCGATAGGGGTAATAATGAGATTACATCTGTAAGCCAATGTTCAAGGCGATGTCAATTTCACATAATTCAACGCAATCGTTCGATCAATATATATATACATATATATATATACGTACTTACGTACATTTATACTTAGATATGTCAACTTTGTATCGTTCCATCTTTCTACCTTAATTGCAGAGGTAACGGGATAAGTATTACGAAACGTTATGCTTTTGTGCTGCTGCGCAAACTGTTTCCGGAAAGCTTATGTACTGTGTACTGCAATCATAAATGTTCCGATTACAATTGTATACATAGATACACACATACATAAATATGCACACATACATACTCGCACACATACGTACGCTCTTACGCTTATACGAGAAGGAACCAACAAGTATAGAAAGATATTGATTGCGCATATATTATATAAAATTTACTTTAATAAAACTGGATAAGCAAGCCAGCAACCTTTGGGCAAAAGTAATTATTCTCCGTATTACAGACAGGCAGAGGATTGCAACAAATTGTATTTGTAGAAATTGTTTTGCATAATGCAATCGGTATATAATCAAACAATGCAAAGCCTGCTGTTCTTGTCGTTCTTCTCATTGTCGTTGGATTCTTCTTCGCTTTGTTCATTTAATCTTTTGTAATGGAAGAGAAATTTTTTTACATATATGCGTACATACAAAGAGATATGTGTGGGTGCGTATGTGTTCGATTCGTTGTCAGTTACCCTTGACCTTTATTTTTAAAAATACTATGGAACAATATTTTATAAGTATGTGAATATATATGTAAACGCTTGCTATCTGCATATATACATATATATACTTAATTGTTCCAATGAACACGAACGTGCGAGATTATACGAAATATAAGAAACATTTCACAAATTAACATAATTGTGCCATTTGTCATATCAAATACAACAAAAAAATATATACATATATGCGGGGAAGAAAAAAACATTTAAAAAAAAGTGCAGTCAATAGGTATGCTGCTTGCTTTTCTTGCTTTCTCGCACCCACCACTTACATCAAGCAGCCAAGTAAATAGATACACACTCACGGGGTTAGTAGTTGTCATGACATTGTTGTCGGCTTAGTATTCAATAGATTTTCATGTGTAAACTTTAGGGCGCGCGTGTGTGTATGTGTCGCCCCCTTTTTTAGCGTCTTCTTGCCTTATCTCTTCAGAAGGTCAACAAAATCAGCAAAAGCGGTACTCGTGTGTTTTAATTTTGTATTTAAGTCAAGTATAGATTGCACATCTCTTCTGCTCTTCTCTACCTCACGTTCTCTTCTTCACTCTATCGCATTTGCTTTCTTATATCGATCCTTTTCCTCATCTCATTCTCCCCCTCTCCCCTCCACCAATATTTTCATAGGCCACATGCATAATACAATCCCAAAAGAAGACATTTGCGTTAATGTGAATTTATTTTAAAAGAAAAAAAAGATTGATTCGTTTTGTAATGTATGGCGAAAATGCTTACCTGCAAATCCGGTGCTGCTATAGGTCCAGGTTGAGCCAGATCGCAAGCTGATATCCAAGGATTAAGGCGTGCAATCGGGTATTTACTCTCGATGATGGATCGATGTTTACTCGGCGGTTTATTGACAGTATCACTAATGGTGGTCTTAAAATTTCTTTTTTCGTTATGGATTAAAGAATGCTTTGAATGATTAAATAGACGCTCAACTTCGCGATTAATATTTTGGTTTATATTGCTTTGTTGAGCGACTAATATTGTTGCCTGCTCTGGCTCGTTGTTAATGAGTTTTCTAATTTTCTCGCCTGTTTGTTGTTGCTTTGAAATTTTCCTTTCAAATATGTATTCATCATCATCATCATTGTCCTTATGATTAAATTTATTCTCACTGCCACCACTGCTACCTCTATTCTGTGCTCCGTCACCAACTACACCCTCCGTTTCGCTGTAGTCTTCTCCGTTATTTAGATAACCAATTTTGTCGTCTTTTAATTTAACAAGATGATCGAAACTCTCTTCCGACAATAAATCGTCTTCGGCAACTAAAGCAAATACATCATCTGTGTCAAATGATTTAGAGGAATCGGATGAGTGTACGGGGAAGTAAACTGTTAAACCATTGGTTTTCTCTTGCTTTAAATCAATGCTACTACCGCTATTGCTGGCCACGTCGGAAGTAGAGATATCTTCTGACCGATCGCCCTTAAACGCAAATTCGTTATTTAGGTTAATATTATAACCGCTGCTAGCACTACGTGCTTTTCGTTTCGATTTAGTCTTTTTATGTGTACGACGGCGGCTTACGGGTGTGAAAGCCAAATTCCTTGTCGAACGGCTACGAGAATCTAAGTAAAGTGATAGTTTTAGTTGCACGGGTAGTACCAGTTCGGGTGTAGGATGATAGTTTAAAATATCAGATAAATAGAGACCATTCGTTAAAGTCGGTGATGTTACAGGTGTCGTTGATTTTTTCTCAATACGTTGCCAATTTCGTTTTTCTTCTCTTCCCCACTTTACACTGTCAGGAGTCAAGGTCTGACCAAATATTTCAATAGTGGTTTGTAAATTTTTGAATGCGGATGTTTCTGTAGTTGTGGTAGTGATGGATGATGAGGACGATGACGGTGACGATAATATCGAAGACGACGATGACGATGACGACGATGACGTCGGTAACGACGTTAAAGTCTTGGAACTAATACTGGTGCTGCCACGCCGAGCCCCCGAAATAAACGCAAGCGCCATCACGACCAGCCCGGGTCCTGGCCGCATATTGACCTCGGGTTCGGCGGTGCTAGCATGGTGCAGGCCCGCTTGAGACGCGCTTGCGACTCCAACTCAATGTTTTGAATGATGGGCTCATGGCCCCATCATCATTGTCGGCATTGTCTTTATGTACATTTAATAGCGACTTTTGACATTATCGATCAACACTTTTCCACAAATAAAATTCCGTAAATCGATGTATTATTAATTGTGAAGTGATATCAAATCCTTGAATGCAAAACATAAAAGAAGGCAGACTGTTTCGCAACTCTTGCACTAAATTATAATTACTTAGATAAGAGATATATCCGCAATCCTTGGCACTCTTACGATATTGTCTGCAATAAAAGATAGGAAAAATTAAACTGTAAACATTAGAAGAAAAATCAAAAATTTTAAAATAGATACAAATTTTATTAAAGGCTTAATTGCAGAAATATAGCTAGAGTTTAATTTACAGTAACCCAAGGAATTCAATAAAACTTATAAAAATTTACAATTTTTTACATCTCAACAAAAAGTGGGGAGATTTTCTAATAGTGTCTGCAATACTTTAAGTTGGTAAAAAAGCTTATAAATTTTTAAAGAACAGCAGAAACTTTACAAATTGCTGAATTTAACTGCTCAATTCCTTATCCGCTTGAGTCACCTCATAAGTAAGAATCGCGAATGGCTCAGCGTAAATCATGATGACTGGGCACATACAGACCAGACTACCGCCACCACATATATCCTTCCTTTCCCCCACGTCTTTCTGAACATCCCCGTGTTACACGAATAGGCCTTTATGATTCGCGAAATTTAAAAAAAAAAGTAAGAGTGTAATGGGGCACGGACCACCGTTAGATACGGTACATCGCCCTACGATTATTCACATATCGAATTTTCAAAATTTGGCGTTATATAGAGAGTGTTCTGACCCGAACCAATTTTTACATCGTTCGTTTTTAAGCCAAACCACCAATATACCAAATTTCACGAAAATGTCTCAAAATTTGCGGCCTGCAGGTTGAGCACAAACGAGGAGACAGACGGACAGAAAGATCGATTAAGAATAAAAGATATATATATATATATATATAATAAAAGTCAAATTTATATCATGTTCTTTTGGTGTTGCGTACATCCGTACAAACGCTTATACCACAAGGAGTGTAGCGTATATAAAAAACGATGATACATAAATTTCACCACAGAAAGTTTATAGATTTCTACAAATTTAGCAAATTTTTGCAGGTTTATCTAAGAATGGCTTCTAAAAGAAGGGAGGAGAATCGGTAAAGTGCTAAGGACCTTATGATGTTTTTTAAATCATTTCGAAATCGAAATAGATTTGTCTTCAAATTTAAAAAGGAAAAAGAAGAGAAGGATAAAAAATGATTGAAAAATACAAAGGAAAAATAATTGAAATTGCCGATCCACTGCTCTGGAATAAATTCTTTCCGATATGAAAACACTCCATTTTTTTATACAATTTTTCGATCTGATTATCTTCTTCTGAACCTCAATTTTAAACTGCGAAAAAGAAAAAGATTCTCCTAGTTGAACACCAATCAATCAATTGGATCTTAACGCGGACTTAGTAGTAAAAACGAAAAGAGAGAAAACAAGATAGCGTTCTTCTTAGACAAACTTCTGTAAGAATTTATATCGAAGGACGTTCTCGGAAGCTTAACAACACGTATTTGTTACTAAAATCTATATTCTCTGGAAAGTAATTGCCATATGATTGAAGAGCAATTAACAGAGCAACACATGAGTAGGTTTATTGCTTGCCTTTTTCTGGCTTGCCTTATATGATTTATGGTAGGAGCATTATGCACGGAATTTTATTATACCAATCTATGTAGATTCATTTTCTGATTCGATTGAAACGTATATGTCCGTCCGATGCACGTTCACGTTTTCTTACGCTTAATTATTAAGACATTTTAATGAAGCTTAGTGCGCCGACATATTTCGAATCAAGAAAAAACGCTGATAGAAATCATTTTTCACTTCTTTTTAACTACTAGGGCTAACTAGTTTTAAGTTTTACTGTTTTATGATGAGACTTTCCATTTTCGAAACTCTTTTCCATATAAAAGTTTTCATGAGAAGTAAATATTTTTATGGCATCAAGATATTATTTTCAATATGTTATGGCAAAAATAGGGAGAATAAACGGACGAACTTTATAGGACATACGATAAGACATGTAGTTGTCAGCTTCGGTCGTATAAGTCAAGAAATAACTCCTGTTATGGGCAAATATAAAATGAGGAAGATTGAGTAAAGAAAGTGAAGAAATGATTTGACACGATGGATTCTTGCATCTTCGAGGCCTTTTGACAAAAAGATACGTTACGAAAAGGTGTTCAAAGTAAAAACAAAAAATGTAAAAAGCTTTACTCTGCGACATATACTACAGTATATCTCGTATAACGTATACGTTCACAGCCTGTATTTTCTGAGTGTTGTCTCAAGCAGAATGAAAAAATGCTATCCTAAATAGTTCGAACGTACGCAAAAATCTTCATATCATAAAACAGAATATGTTTGAAAACAATAATATATACATTTTTTAATGACAAGTCACTGTCTTTTCATTATTAGCCTGTTTTTTCATTATCGGTATGGCAACTCTGTCGCGTGGTATAGTCGTCTATATTTTGTTTCGGCAATTAATATTTTAATTTTTTTGTTGAATTTCGTGGCTATTCTGCCTTATAGTGTGTGAATTTATAATATACTTTGAGAAGAAAGTGAGTGAATTCAAAGTAAAAGAAATATTTTTCATTTACGCTTTGATTCATTTGATTTTTGCAAACAAAAATTTTAATCTCTGATATAAATCTCTCTTTTTTTTTTTGTTTTCTCTCTTTTTCTCTGGTTATTTTTTCGGTGTTTGTAGTTTGTTTTGCTATTGATCTCTCGTTACAGTGTCGCCCTAACAGAGAAGTTTTGCACAAATTGGTTGATAAATTTTTATGTTCAGGATTTTTTAGTGTGTCTGTTCTTCATAATCCACAACTGTCTTTTTGACTGGACATGGAGTGTTTATATACACCTTGTCGGGCGAAATCGGGCCCGGATTCTGATAGATTCGTTTCTTGTTGGCTCTGCAAGCGCTTTGATCATGCAAAGTGTGCCGGTATTCTCGGCCGTGCTGCTGACGCAGTCGCTGACCAGTCTAAAGGCTTAAGATGGTCATGTCCTGACTGTAGGCAGCGGGACATTGACTTCTATAAACTTTTCACGGAATTGAGTAGAAATCTCGGCTCCTTGTGGGAAAAGTTTGAGCTCATTAAGTCTAGGTTTGATGAGTGTCGTTTTATTGGACACTCATCTTCTACTCGTAGCGTAGCGTGTGGGATGTCACCTCTGACTTTCTCCAAATCTGATTCGTTGGTACAAGTTACCGCTCCCTCTAACTCTAAAATGAACAGTAATGTTTCTGATATTGCTGAGTCGGTTGGTACTAAAACAGTTACAAACAAACCGGCAAGTCCATCGGTTTTAAGCTACGCTGAAGTGGCAAGGGTATCTCCGCCCAGAGCCGCCACTCACTCTAATCAAGCGCCATCGCCTAAAAGTAATGAAGAGAAAAATAAATCATCCTCTCCTCCTCGCTGTTCGCGTGTGAATGCTGGTCACCAGACTGGGCAAGTCTCACAAGCTGCAGGTACAAGGACGATAGCGCCATCTATATTCTCCCCAACTCGAAACTCTCCTACCGTGATCCCCCCTCCTGTTCCAAATAATTACATTTGCTTGACGGCAGTTCCTCCCACAAAAGCAGTATTTGTGTCAAGACTGGCACCTGAAACATCGGTGGATAACATAAAAAGTTTTAAAATATTAGTTCCGACTGATGTTGTTAAACAAATCACTGTCGCCAGTAGGATCCTTAATTAAGGAATTTATCCCTCGAGATCGTCCCCGTAATACCAAGGCAATAGTCTTGTCGCCTTCAAAAAACTAATTGTTTCTTCAGGCCCACTATCTCTCATTTATCAAAATGTTAGGGGCCTAAATTCGAAAATTCGCTCCACTTTTCTAAATTCAGTGAGCACGGAATTTTTCTGTTTGGCCTTTACTGAAACTTGGCTAAAATCGGATCTTCATTCGTCGGAACTTTTTCATAATTCTTTCCAAGTGTTTAGAAATGATCGAGTAAATCGCATTGGTGGTGGTGTATTAATTGCCATATCTGCGTCAGTCCCGTCCAATTTAATTGAATTTCCCACTTCTCCTGACGTTGAATTTATCGCTATTGGTGCGAATATGCCTGATAAACATCTATTTATAACCTGCTCCTATATTCCCCCAAATTCTGATATCTCAATTTACAGGAAACACGCTGCCTTCATTTGCGAAGTGGCCAAGCGGTCTAGACCCACCGATTTGGTCGTTGCATTGGGTGACTTCAATTTGCCTCAAGTCACTTGGTGTAGCACTGATAATTCCGGCTGTTTGGTTCCTACTTCAACGTCTGATGGGGCTGTTGTGTTCTTTAATGAATTGTTTGACCGTAATTTGGGTCAATATACCGTACCCCTAATTGTAATGGTAGACTGCTTGATCTCTGCTTTGCCAATTTTCCCGAGATTTACGTAAATCGTTTTCCACCTTTTAGTTTACCTGAGGATTCTTATCATCCATCAATATGCATTTTCTTTCATCATATGAATGATGGTTTGTTGAAATGCCTTAATGTGCCAAATTAAACTTTTTAAATAATTATTATGGTTTTCATAAAATCAATATTGTATTGCTAAAACATTGTCTCTCACATTTGAGGCTTTATTTCTCAACTGGTAGTATTGAGAGCTTATTGTTATCGTTTTACAATACATTAAATCTAGCTATTGCTGCATCTGTTCCGATCAAGCATTGTCGACCTCGAAGCAGGTGTCCCCCGTGGTTTAATAAGACAATAAAATATCACAAGAATAGAAAAAACTCGCTATTCAAAATATATTCGAAAAGTGGCTCTGCGCTCGACTATGTCGCTTACTCGGTGGCGAGGCATACATTTAACTCCCTCAGCCATCATTATTACTGCAGATACTTTCAGTCCATTAAATCCTATCTGTTTGCTAATCCTAAATTCTTCTTTAAATTTGTTAACTCTAAAAGAAAAATATCCACATATCCCTCTCATGTATCTTTTAATGGCTCTGATTCCTCGGATGATTTTGAAATCTCAAATCTATTTGCTGAGTATTTCCGACGAAACTTTTCGATTGCTAATTTCGATTTATCAGCAAACTACCCATATCCTATAACTAACTCGGTTTCAATACCTAACTTGGTTATTTCGGAAGATGACGTTTTTAAAGGGTTGAGTTCTCTT